ATATTCCTTTAAGCAAGAAATTTAGTGATTTTTTACTGCCTTATAATAACAATATTGTTATATATGATATATATATTATAGATTAACAGTAATGACTTGGAATGAAATTGAGAGACAAATTCTGTATCTGATGCGTTAAATCTTAATCAAGAGCAGTTTGTTTTGTAATTTACTCAAAGAAACAAGAGATTTTCTAGTTTATCGAGATGTTCAACATGTTAACATCCATGTTTCAAAGCGAATATTGATTTATATGTTGCTGGATAAAATATAAATGTGTTAGAATCTCAAGCTGAAATATAATTCTATTTTTTCTTGGATTAATTCATAAATATATATTATTTATGAATTAATCGACCTCGTTGCCTGAAGATGCTCAATGATGAGCGAAACGCGTCGCAGGATTTACCTAACCTTCCATTTGGACAAATTTTAAGACTTATTGACCCCGTTACTGTACCTCTTATCAGAAAGCTTGAGAGATTAAACTCAAAAGATTTTCTCAATAAAACTGGCATTATTTTTAACCAAACATGTTTAAATGAAGGGCTCTTCCCTAAATATACAAATATATTATTGATTAAATATTTCAATAAAAAATTTCAGATCGATAGTACAACCTCCAAAAGATTTCATATCGACTTGAAATTTTGCAGACCTTTTAGTTAACGTAGTAGCAACTTTCCTGAGGTCAACCATATTGAAATTAGAAATTTTGGTTTTCGAATCTCCCTCGTATACATTGCCAAGTTTGTCTGGGGATGATATTTTGATCAAGACGGTAAGTTAGTTTCCAAGCGACATGTTATCTGGTGACTTTTTTTTATAAATAAACTATGCTAGTGATGGCCAGATATTGTCCTTGAGTGCTACGTCGATATTGTCCTTGAAGGGCCGCCGCCCTTCTCCAAACGAGACTAAATATTAACAAGGACATGTAAACCTGTTTTCGGAAGTAGCCTTCGATCGTTAATCGTTTGCTGCTGGTCATCAACCATACCATCAACGCTATGACGTTCTTTGAATTTAAATTGACCAGACTGACGTATGATGCTGGTTGTATCCTAGAAATTGTTCCCATGTCTCCCGCTGTGCAGCCCATAATAGATGAGCGTTGACAATAGATGAGCACAAAAAATAGTTTTTATCTAACAAACAGAACAGCACGAAGACCTGCTCGTATTTCATAAGACATATGAAAACTCCAGTGAGGTATTAAAACTCGCATAATATGCGCAACGATAATTATGTTTATGCATGAGTCAGCTGAGCTTCATATTAATGAGAGATTGTTTGCCTGTATGTAATGTCGTGTAAATTTTTTCTAAATCGTATATATGTATATTTTTCACCTTGTCATCCTTTGATAAAGTATTCATCATAGACAGCTGTACATGTAGTTATTATTTGTTCATTAATAGTGTTGTACGAAAGCGCTCACGACCTGCACATCCGCCGGTAACTTAGAAAGCGTTTCAAAATCTAAAAATATAAATAAGCTCAGCCAAATTTTTATATAGGCTAGGACCCGTTTAACCAAATTCTTAAGTAGGCCAGGACCTGTTTTGATTTGACTAAGTTAGGCAATGAAAGGGTGCTAAAACTTCGTTACGCGCGCTATTTAAAAATGAAGAGGCAAAAAAAAAACTAACAGCTTTCGCGGTAGTGTTGTGAAGAAATAGCTGTGTCATTAGTTAGGTCAAAATCAAGTTTCAATTTGAAAAATTTTTGTTTAGAATGAAAGCGCTAAAACTTATTTCCTATTATCTATCCAAATAGTGTTGTGTCGGGAACCTGTTTCGTCCTTTGTGGAGCTGGCTTGTCCGTTGTCTAACGGGGGAGCAGCCGTATAGGCCACAAATTTTACTCTTAAATAATTAAGCCCTGTAGCCAACTCCTAGCTTCACCATGCATTAACTTTACTCAGCCTCAGTGCTAGAAGCCGCAGACTACGCATGAACTCCATAATCCAGACAAGCATAGCCGTAAAGATAATAGCGCCGTAGGTCTTCAGTCAATGCTTTAGCATGCCCGCTCATTTTGTATAAGCAGGCAGTTCCTCATCCGGCTGTACCTTCACCAGCCTCTTCTGGCGAGTTTCTTTCTTGGACCTGATGTCCGAGAGAAGTAAATTGAACTACTTATTATGCCTTCTACGAGTGTATAAGCTATCAGCAAGATTATGATTTTTTTCTGGATGAATATCATCAATAATGAACAAATTTTTCTTCCTATAGTATCTATGTCTGAGGGCACTGAAGCAGTTTTCTCAAAGTATTCGACTGCTTATTTCTGTTAACGTCTATTCGTTAAGTTTTCAAAATATTTTTTGACTTTGCCGTCAGAAAATGAATCAACAGCTCAGATTTGTTATATCCCTTATCAAAAATCGTACCAGGATCTCGTGGACCTACTGGAGAGCATCTCGCAGACCGGCACCACTGGCGACTGCCAATTAATCCAATTTAAAATCCCTTCCTCTTCTCCCGGTTTCGCAATGCAAGGACCAAATTACAGGGATCTCCCGGGTAAAGTTCATTTTACACCGGTAGTGGGATATTCTCTCTTTTTAGCGCATTTTCTCATTTATGGAAAAAATGCACTATTGTGCTCGCCATGTCCGTCCGTCCGTCCGTCCGTGACTTCACGGTTTCGTCGACGAGAAAATGCGCTCTCTGTCACTCACTGCCGTGAGTACTGAGTTGTATTTTTTCTGATCTAGCTTGTAATAAATTCGTCAGATGCAAGTAATAGTTTATATTCAAACATTAGACGTTGGTTGCATCAAATAGTTTTAATTTTATTCGTTTCCATAGCCATCGTCGCTTTCCGCGCCAGCCCCCTGACGAAGATGCTAAAAATTCGAAATTGGGCGACGACCGAAACTTCCTTATTATGCACTGTCACTTTGAATTCTCTTACAGCTAGAGACGAAGGAAACTCTACGGTATAATTATCTCCCATTTAACCCTTTCACGGGCAAGTTACCTTATATGGTTACTTGAAATCGCCTCACGAAGAGACCCACCATGGCTTCTGGTTTGAGTTATCAGGTGGCTTCCTTATTATCAGTAAATCACTAATTATCTTACGTTTGTTTCATCCATAGCATCACCACCCACCATGCCCAAATATTAAATTATGAGCAAATAAATGAAAGTTTCGACTCCGATGATGATATTGAGGCTCTTTCCGCATTTTTTTTCAAATAACGCAAGTATCAATATATATTTAATTATTTAAGGTAACTTGATTGAATTGCATTATATTAAATTTTCATGTTATTAAATTTTTTCATATGCAATTACTATATTTTAATTTTAATTATAATGAAAAAATTTCGTGTAGTGACTGCATTTTATAAATTTTTCACGTGCGAATCTAAACCCGCAATATGCGAAATTAAAAAAAATACAATAATAACGTGCATTCGTACCTCGCTTACAATATCCTTACATTTTTCAATTCTTGCAATTTTCTGTGTGGGGCAGCTTCGCATCTCAGGCTAAAATTCGAAAGATCCACGTGAAAAAATTGGCTCTTAATGAGGCGGCTCAGAAGTAGCAGGGGTTGGTGAGTTTTTTTTTTCAAAGCAGGAGTTTTCGACATTTTCATTTATTCATAATGTTGAATTATTAAAAAATGAATGAAAAATACCCATTGAATTTTTTCATGTTTAAGAAAAGTATAGCTTTGTGGTTGTGTTCGATTGCAAACACGGGCCCCGACCCAGCTCGGCAGCGCGAAGTTGATTTAGAGGGCAAGATGCAGCAGCTGGAACTGCTGCTCAAGGAGTGCAAGAGTCAGATTCTCTCGCTACAAGAGAAAATAGCGGCGATGGCAGCAGAGTCTCAAGAAATGCAAGAAACGGTAAGAATTTTGCAAAGTTTATAGTCCTCAAATCGTGAAATTATTTGTTACTCATCTAACAATAACTAAATAATATTACTATATAGCTGGTTAGTCTGACGATGCCGGCAATCCCTGTAATTTAAGAATCCAGCACAACGAATTCGAGGAAATGTCGAAGACGAAGAAGTGTCAGCTTGATTAATATTATTTACGATGATCGAGAAGATGCTATTCAGCATTACGCGATTGTATGTAGGATTGCAGCGCTTTCCGATTTCGGAAGAAGCCGTGCTAACCTGCTAGTTGAATATCAACATCCCTTCCTCTTCTCCCGGTTTTGCAATGCCTTCCTATGCTCCCACTAATTATAAATTGTCAAGCCCACGCCTTGACTCAACAGTATCACGAATACGCGCCCGCGATCTGTCTCATATATCTAGCGCGCCTGACTCTTCAACACACAAACTAAAGCAAATTTAAATATGAATCACGCTGTTCAGTTTGCAATTTATTTGCAGAGATGTGGAGAAGAATGAAGTTTCCCTGACCTCGCTGCGTGCCGAGGCTGACCTTCTGCGCTCGGATCTTGCTGGCAGGGATCTGTAAATTTCGCAGGTGTTAACCGAGATTCTCTCTTTAAGGTTACTATATACTCCCTTTACTAATCGATATTGCTCGAATACCTTCTTTACCGGAAAAGATTCTCGTTACCATTCAATTGTTCACTATTCCTGCAGAGAGGCGCGAGGCGGGAGGCAGGAACCATTTCCATTTTCCATTTCTGGGCCGTTGATCCCCGTCAGGGACTTGTCCCCCCCCCCAGGGTCCCACACCAGGCACGCCCTCTGGTGCCTCGCCATGTTGGCGGCCGACAGCACTAATTATTATTAAACACGGGTGGTTACTGGCCACGTTTTAAACACGGGTTGTTAATGGCCAGAGAATTCGTCAATTTAAATTTTCAGGCTCAAAAAAAAAATTCTTCAGATGACATTAGTTGATCAAAATGAAGGTTCAAGGGAGTAATTTCAATTTATTAGCGACGTTTCGAATGAAACAACATTCATTTTCAAGTTACAGGAAGCATTGAATACAGAAATTTTGATGGAAATAAGTACATGATACACGTTAATATGATACAACAAGAATTTTTTTGGAACCGCGAAAGTAATTCCGAAACAATCTCAAAGCTTAGAAAATAAGGTAGTAATTAGATGGATAAATGGAGTCCAATCCGTTAAGAAGGGCTTCAGCTATCGTCGGTCGGATTATGTCGGGCCACCGCAAGATGACGATGCTGGTGGGTTCCACCAGCACAGTGCAAGTGAGTCTCGTTGAGATTAACGTTGTCGAGAGTGTCACGGGGCCTATTGATTTCATCGCGGGTCTTAAGATGAAGTTGCTCGATTGTGATGCTTTGAGACCTGGTCTGGTTGCGAGCTTGGCTCAGGTGGTAGGATAAACGGCTGCTCAATGTCGCAGTTGCTACTCCAAGTACTCCAATGCAGTCAAAATAATGAAGAAGTCTACAACCTTCTTTGAAGCAAAATTTATTGATTACACCAGATTCTTGAAGAACTCCCGCTCGTTTGAAGTGACAGTTGCTGCGTATATAGTTTGGGGTGTGACGTTGTTGTCAAGGTTGTCATGGAGCTAGTTGAATTCATTGCGGATCTCGAGATGCAGTTGCTCGATTGTAATTCTCTGAGATCTGGTCTGATTTCGAGCTTGTCTCGACTTTGCCACCTGAGGAAGCAAACGACTTTGAACAGCCGTAATCATTATCAAAATTTGATAATGAAATATTAACTGATGGAACTTTTTACCTTCAGCTTCTTATTCTAAGGCTAAGCTTTCTAAAATCTAACCGATTTCACAGCTCGTTGCGAATGGAAAACAATTCACGAGATTTATTCACGTTGGAATTTCCATCTTCGTCGTGCCTTTAACTTTTCTTTTGTGTAACATGCTTTCGAACATCGACAGAAAAGTTGGAATGAGAAAAATACCATGAATCGTTGCGAAGAATATTACCAAGAACACCGTTTTGAAGAAAGTCTTGAACATATAAGATGGGATTAACATCAACGGCAGGACTCCGATGAGAGTCGAGAGTGCGCCTTGCATGACGGGCAATCCTAATGACGTCAAGCATTCCCGGACTCGCTCCTCAGGTGTGTCAACTTTGGCAGCAAGATACGAATAACTGATGTGGGCTGTGAAGTCAACACTGAAGCCAACGCACATGATCAGTTGGATCATGGACATCATGTCAAAGTTTACTCCCCAGAGGCTCGTGTATCCTATGACTCCTGTTTCGATGGACACGATGGCGAACCCAACACACAAGGAGGAGATGGGGTTCGGGATGAAGACGACGCATATCAAAACCATCGTCAAGGCAGCGCACGAGATGGCCTTAAGGATGGTCGAGCGGACAACTGAGAGCTGGAAGGAGGTTTTCACAAAAATATTTCTAGTTTAGAACTGGAAAATCATCATATACACACATATTTTTTTGATAAATGGCAAAAATAGAGTCTTACATAGACAGTACAATATAGTACACTACTGAGTTCAGAGTAAATAGTACAGAATACAGCACAGCACAGCACAACATGGCACGATGTAGCACAGCACGACACAGCACAGCACAACACGGCACAGCACAACATGGCACAGTACGGCACAGCATAGCACGGCACAACAAAGCAGGTCACAGTACGTCACAGCACATCACAGCACAGCACAGCACGTCACAGCACTGCACGTCACTGCACGTCACAGCACAGCACGGCACAGCACGTCACAGTACGTCACAGCACAGCACGGCACGGCACAGCACAGCACGTGACAGCACAGCACGTCACATCACAGCACGGCACAGCACAGCACGGCACATCACGTCACAGCACAGCACGGCGCAGCACAGCACGGCACAGCACGGCACAGCAAACAACGTCACAGCAAAGCACGGCACATCACGGTACAGCACTGCAAAGCACAGCACGGAAAAGCACAGCTCGACACAACACTGCACGGCTAAGCTCCGCAGAGTATAGCATGGTACAGTATAGTACATGGCTATCATCGTTGATTAGTCCGTTAGATCTTTCGCCGATTCTCGACATCGCAGAATATTCACAGCTTGTTGCGGTCTTGATCACGCAACTCACTGCTTTAATTTGCTTTGCTAAACCTCTTCACCGATTGTATCAAAACTGTAGCAGGTAGCAAGAATCGAACCAATACTTCACTGCTCCTATTTTTCTACCCTGAATTGTAACTACTGAACTATTTTTAATGATGTTCGGTGAACTTACTGTGGTTTGGCCGTCACTCCGATGCTTGATCGAGTCGCGTATTTTTGACCAGAAAGACCGACAGAAGAAATTTAACAGAATTTGTCTAAAAATGTTTGCTAGAGGTGTACTTGGCCAACTCGCTTATTGGATAATAATCTAGATTCTAGATCTACTTACGTGATCAAAAAAGATGAAGAGAGGGTGGTAAACAGTGACGTTGAATTTTGACTCGTCCGCCCACTGACGAAGATCCTGCATCAGACGACGATCGTTGATGGCATTCATGACGTTAACCGACTGTACGAGGCAGCGCGAGGCGACGATGCGACTGTTGTCTTCGCTGAAGACAATGTCAGCGCGGTAGCGGTTGATGTCGCCACTTAAGAAGGACTGAGGAACGACGAAAACAGGGATTAATTTTTGGAATTTTGACAGCCGGTGAGGCAAAAGTCATTGAAGTTGATTCAAATGGAGGCTAAACTTGATGCATGTATTATGATATTATGGAGATGTATCAGCTTTCTTTTGGTGATGCTGGCTTGTAGCCGATTCTTGACTACCCTTCGTCGATTTCGACCAAAATTTCCGAAACTAGTCGAACCACCTATTCGCTACTCCAATCCTGGTGTAATCCTAACCGCTCGCTGACCCAAAGCTACAACCTTTCAACGAATCGTTTTAAAATTATTTACATGATATTTTGACAGAGATGCCTTGAATCTTCCTTCTTCCACAATTGAGCACGTTAATTTGTGTAATAAAGGAGGTCCATGAACCTACGTACGTTCAATATCGACCTGTAAATACCTTTACCTTTCTAATTTCAATCTTGTCGATTCCATAAGTTCAACCAAACACTTTGTGGTATGACGTCATTGATCATTGCGCCGTTACTCTTTACGCTCAGCAAAGCCACAACACAACCTCAATGGCAGCAGGTTAAAAATTGAGTAGTCAACGGACGGAGATATGTCCTGCATTGAGTTATAAGAAGTTACTGACAGATATTATAATAATAATATAGCGGTTTCAGGGTTTATTAGGCCGTAGGCCTGTCGCCAATTCTTAACATTGCAGAACCTCTACAGCTTGTTGCGGGCTTTTTTTAATTCGCAACTCACTGCTTCTATTTTTAGCGCATTTTCTCATTTATGGAAAAAATGCACTATTGTGCTCGCCATGTCCGTCTGTCCGTGACTTCAAGTTTTCGTCCACGAGAAAATGCGCTCTCTGTCACTCACTGCATGGCCATGTATTTTGTCCACTGCCTCAACCAACAATCCGTGTAAAACTCATCGCCGATGAACTCATGGGATTCAACTTTCTCAACGAATTCAAGCAACTGCCTCTCGTTGGCTGGATCGCTGTACGTGATGTTGCCGGTGAAGACAATCTGCAAAAAAGGTTAAGTCATACAAATATCCAAGCAGGAATTAATCCAAAATTATTCGGAAGTCGGGAAATGCAAATAAAATATACCGAAACAGCATGACTCCAAAAAAACGAACGCACAACCTGCCATTCTTATTTCCAGTAAATGTCAGGTAACTTTTTACGACTTCAACTGATCAAAACCCAACCATGGGGCGGTAGGCGAAACTGCTAAAATATTTATCGGTGAAGTCGTAGAATGGGATGGAGTATGAGTCGTAGCGCGCCGTCTTGCGCAACTGCAAACCGTCGTTGAAGGTAGTGCAGCCGTACACAGCCACGGCCAAGTACGCTGCGAACGCCACCACCACGACACCTGGAGGAGCGTCAGGTCACGTTCAGAAACGTCTATGTTTATTGTTAATGAACAGACAAAGATAGTGCAGCGATCCTTGAGTAGTAAATGGCTATTCAGAAATAATCTACAATGTACACGCCAATATAGCGCAACGTACTTTGAGTCGTAATTTGAAATTTGCAAATAGTCCATAATGCACAGTGTACACACCGAGATACCGCACCTTACAAACTTTACGCACCGAAATACCTGTGAGGTTTAAATCTAATTTGGCAAATAGTCTAGAAAGCACGGAGCTAAATATCATCGTTGATGGATAGCGACAAATTGCGATTTCTCGTGTAGATAACGGTGGAGGACCAGCACGGCTGTCAGGAGCCCGAGCGATGTTATATTCCAATGTTTCGGAGGGAATGGTAAGTCGAGTCCACTGAGCACTTAAATCAAAACTAACCACACTCTTGGATTAATATTGTTTCGCCCAATACATTGCTTGATCCCATTTACCTTTGGTTACCGCACATTTGAGCTTTATTTTCAAGCGACAGTTGTAAAAATTATCTCAGAGTTGGGTTATTTGAATTTTGAACGGTGAAGGCCCAAATTGAGCTTATAAACATTAGAAGGGCTGACTTAGGTGAACTTTACAATATTGAGGGATCGAAAGAAAGACTGAGATAACAATTAGATTGCGTTACACTTAATATCATTGCATTAAATTGCGTAGAGAATTGTTTGCTTCTGATATAAAGAAAATTATGAAATCTTGTTAATATATTCTATGAACAATTTTCCTTCTCAAGCGTGTCGTCCTAAATTAGATTTGCCTCTTGTTGAAAATTGAATTTTTTTCCTTACTGAATATTTGCTAAACGTCATTTCTAGAACCATATATTGAAAATGATCAGAAGTGCCATTGTTGCTCGATCACATGCCTTTTGAACCGCCCTCTTGAGGTTTCTACATGACGGATGATAAACGTGTATACCTATTTTACATACTGAGCTACATAAACGTTACATAGCAAAGCTGGTATTATTATTCGCAATTATCGTTTCATAATCTAATGAACATAATTATTAGGAATTCTTGCCTTTAATTACTGGCAAGTTTAAACAGTGAGCGACGTAGTCCCTGAAGAGAATCACGACGGCTTGTGGTTGGTTGTCGTCAGGATTGCTAGGGTCGGACGCGGCCACTCCACCAGCACAGAATCGGCGATAAAATGCCGACTCCTCGGCTACAAACAAACAGGACGCATTTATAGAAATTAGTGATAACTTGTCAAAATAGCGATGCACTTTTCGTCCTGTTGTGGGTCCTTCTGACCTAATTTCTTGCAGTACAACAGCGTATCAAGGGCTCACTCAATTATTTGAGTGTTTTTTTTTAGCTCAGTGCCAACATGCCGGAGGCCAGTTTCGCCCAACTTCACACTATACTTCATATTTCTTTCCGTGGGGTGGAACGCTAAAAGGGTAGAACAACCTATGAAGTGAAGTTCCTAAAGCCATAGCACAGTATGTCCACAGCCACTGCTTAATCATGCAAAGTTAGGTATGGCCATACACTCGTACTGAATCAGGCCTAACCTATTAAGGCTGCAACATTTCCCAAACCAAAATCAACCTGAGTGAACTTAACGTAACCTCATACGCTGCATTAAATTAAAGAGGTGGATATGTGAACAGGTAGAGCCAGTCATTGGCTTCAATAAAGTTGTAAGTGAGAGCAGCGTGAATAGGTTAGGCTAGATAAGGTTGGATCGGAGTAGGTGTGGCCGGACGAAGAACAGCCTGCTTTTGAGCGAGCATGACAAAGTATTGACGAAAGGCCTATAGGGCAATTACTTTTTATCAGTGTGGCACTGGTCTGGATCACGGCGTTCTATCGTAGTCTGTGTATTCTATATCTGTGGCCAAGTGTAGTTATTGCATGCTGAGACTGGGCGTTGGCACCCTGGCCTATTTAAGGGTTAAATTGGTGGCCCACGGCTGCTCCCCCGTTTCGACAGCATGACGAAGCATTTTTGCTCGTCATCGTGAAGACGCGACCGGGTCCCATCAGAGTGAAGAACTATCCTTGAAACCTTGCATAGCTTTGCTGCTGCGACACTTCTCCGAACTCACCCACGAACTCGCCAACGGACTCGAACGAAAAAAAAGTTACTTCTGCACAAAATTTACTGCTTAAATCTTTTAAATTATGAACGGATCTGCTTGAAATTCAGATTTTAACTAGTTATTAGCGATGCGACCAGCGAAGAATTAGTTTGGATTTTTATGTCATTTCGTTTTTGATTAAAATGAAACTTTCAAAATCCAAGGAGTTACGTTTGAGTCCGTTGGCGAATTCGCGGGTGAGTTCGGAGAAGTGTCGATTCGATCAAAGCTTTAATGTGTTTGGCTACAAAATTTACGTCATCTCGAATTTACTCATTTCTTGAAAAAAATACGAACAAACTAAATGCTAATTTTTCATTGACATCGGCTTCGCTCAATTCAACGACATTGAGTAGCAGTGTAGCGAACCTAGAAATTACGACTTTTAATAAATGTATCCCTTTTCCTCTGACTTGGCAACACCGTTAGGAAGTTTACTTCGCGTTCTATTTGTCCCTTAGTCAGTATAGCCCAGCCGATCCACAACAGCAGTTAAGTTAAGATTTAGGCCACTAAGATAGGTTTCGTTGTTTATATGCGTAAATGGTTATATTGTACTATTATTTGCCTCCTCATGGTTATTTATAAAATATACTTCTCGAACAGGTTCTCATTTTGCCAAGGGTAATATCACTATTATTACTGTTGTCATATCTGTATTCCTTGCCGTATCAAATAAATTCACTAGATCCATTTCGATTCATTTCCGATCTTGTAATTTCCTCACTTTGCGGGTAACGTACGGCAGTTACCCAACAGCAGAAATGGGGGCGCAGCCGTAGGCCACAAATTTAATTCCTAATTAAATAAGCCTTTGATAAGCCCTCAGCATGCGATAAGTTTACCCAGCCACAGAACTAGAAGCAGCAGAATACGCTGGAACACCATAATCACGAACAGTGACACGTTGCTTAAAGATAATATCATTGTAGGTTTACAGCCAATACTTAATTATGCATGCTCGCATATAAGCAGGCTGTTCTGCATCCGGCTGCACCTACTCCGGCCTGATCTCCTCCGGCCTAACCTATTCACGCTGTCCCGGCTCACTACCTTGCAACCAATGACTTGCTCATCCAGTACATTTGAACCGCCTTTCCAACTTCCCGTAGCCAATGAGGTTAGGTTAGGTCAGCTCAGGTATGTTTAAAGCGAAGAAATGTTGCAACTTGTGTAGGTTAAGCCAGAAGAGATTATATCGGAAGAGGTTTGGCCGGATTTAGTATGACCATGATTACCTTTAGCATGCTCAAGTGGTGGCTGTGGACACATAACGTTATGGCTTTAAGCAGTTGACTGCATGGCTGTTATTCCATCTTGTGTTCTTATCCACGGAAAGGAATATGAACTAAGTGTGAAGTTGAGCAAAGCTGACCTCCGGCATGCGCCCTGGATAAATGGTGGAGTACAGGGGAAGTCATCAAACACGAATAGATATTTGAATATTTAACACTACATAGTTCTACATGACGAACCTCATTGAACCTTAGTAATGCTCAGATGCTTGCGTAGAAACGCTCGTTCTTCATAGAATTGCTTGAAACATTATTTTTGAGATATGTGCGACTAGTAGTTTAATGTGTCACAGGAGATAAAATGCTCATTTATTACAAATTAGGAACACTTACATGACTCCCAGCTGGACTTGACTCGCTTGCAAGTAATGTTATGGAGCTGCTGCTTCTCAGCGCGTCCGGACAGCGCCAGACAGGCGCCGAACAGAGTGATGTGCCACACGTACGCCATCAGCACCGAAATGCCTGCGTGCATTTGTTCTCAAATTTCTTGTAAATTTGTGATTCAATCAAGTCATCTTAGGTTGTGTGTGTAATACAACAGCACGCGAAGCCATGAAGTGTTACTTTTCGTTGAAAATAATTGAAAGCTTACGGTTTTTAGAAATTTCCAACAGTAGAACTATTTTACAAATACCGAACACCGAATTTTGTAAGGAAATAGATGGTTTGGCCTAAAACTCCCCTAGTTTTAGAATCATTGCACAAATACCAAATGCGTAATGAAATTGAGGGCGGTAAAATACTTCAACACTTTTTAGCGTTTTTTTCACGTTGTGTGGAAAAAAGGCGCTATTGTGCTCGTCATGTCCGTCCGTCCGTCCGTTTGTCTGTCCGTCCGTGACTTCACGTTTTTGTCGACGAGAAAATGCGCTCTCGGTCACTCATTGCAGTGAGTACTGAGTTATATTTTTTATAATGATCTTCATATGGGGAAAAAATGTAACTCAGTACTCGCTGCAGTGAGTGACAGAGAGCGCATTTTCTCGTCGACGAAAACTTGAAGTCACGGACGGACAGACAGACGGACATGGCGAGCACAATAGTGCATTTTTTCCATAAATGAGAAAATGCGCTACAAATAACAATTTGAGTTGCCGCGTCTTTAACGTACGTTTTTGCTTATGTAATTTTCCAAACGTGTAAGCCTGAAAGGAAATTAAAAGTAAAGGTCCACCAAAAATAAATTCCATGACGGTCAATTTTTTACACTAGTCAGATGAAATAATATTCCTTGACAAAACAGTGAAGACAAAACCAGAAAACTTATTTTGGAATATGACGCGTGTTATGCTTGAATACCACATGAAAATTACTTTAAAGTAAATTTCTCCATGTATCTATTTATTTATATCTGTCAAGCCAATAGTTGATGTTCAAACCGAAGAATTTCTTCCTACGAATGAAAAAAATCCCCACATTAAGGTTCCGACTCTGAACTCACAAATAATTTGTTAGCACCAAATCAAAATCTTCAGCCTTACCCAGATAGAGGCAGAAGACCCTGACGGAGGCAAAATACGTGAAGGTGCCTATGAAGAATGAAATCATGTCTGTGATGGAAGTGATGCTGATGGAAACGGCGGATTCTGCGTAGGTTTGAGCCATGCGCTCCCGCACCGAATACTGAGGACGCGTTCTGTGCCAAGCCGAAAGCATCACAAAGGCGTCGTCGATGCCAATACCTTGAGAAAAATACGTGAATAATTACATGAATGAAGTTCCCAGCCTACTCTAGATCAGGCATCAAAATTTACGCGCATTGGGATCCCACAATTTACCAGCATGAGTATATGACACAAGTAATTCATATATCGTGATACACTAGCTGATTTCATGGACTAACACTGCTTCATAGGTCAAATAGTGAGTTCACTTTAAATGCAAATGAAGTGCGAGCACTTCGTCTTGGACATTCAAGCTACTCACTTCAAAGACTTCATATAACTACATAGGTGAGACTAGCAAAACCATCTACAACTCAAGCGATAACATTTTGAAGGCAATACTCGAGCGATAAGACAAAGAAAGAAATACCCGAACGATTACACAATGGTAGAAATACTGGAGCTATAACACATTGAAGGAAATGCTGAAGCGAGAACACGGTGAACACATTTGCGTGGCCACCTCGTCTACGAAAGACTAATCTGTTGAATGTCACACCTCTAATGTAAGAGAAGTGATCAGTCGTATGAGTCCAAGTCTGCAGTTTACTAACATTAAATTACTAACATTAAAAAACATTACTAACATTAAAGTACTTAATAAAGGAAACAGTCAACAAAGCAATTACCTAACATCAGAAACGGCGCTGCCATATTTATGCCAATCATCGGAACGCCGCAATGCATGAGGACCCCAAACGCCGTCAGACTAGCCAATGCTGAATTAATGATGGCCACTAAGCCGAGCCAAGTCTTGCTTCTGACACAGTCGCCCAGTGTGAGGGAGGCCAGGCAAAAGACAGTTATTAAAAACACTGCTACAGTTAAGTAAGGAAACATCGACATGACGTTGTTCATCATCTCTTGCGTGGCAGTCCTTGAGTGGTACATTGCGATGCTCAAGCTCGGCTCTCCTAAGCCCTTCTTGAAGTGTGCAAGAAACTTTTCTTCCCACAAAGTACTCCTGGAAGACCGAAAAAGAAAGTTTCAGAACCATGCTGATTTTTTTCCAAAGGTTTGATGCGTAAAGATGCTGCTGCGTCGCAAAATCGGACTTGTTATCAATTTGTTAGTTCATTTTCTAAGGTGCACATGGAGTTATTTGCATGAATTCGCTGTATTTAAAATATAGACGAGACAATTATGTTCTAAAACGGCACAAACCACTTATATATAGATAAAAAAGCGGATGTTTTACGACAAGTCGTGTAAATCACAGACACGTCATTACATTTAATTTATTCGGTGAGACTCAAATAATTCATATTGTTTAGGGCCAACTGAAGTAGCAAAAATATTCTACAAAACCCATGAATTAGTCAAGTGAACTTAATGCATCACGAAGTTTCCACCGCACCGATGGTTATCATATTATATTTATTCGGCAAGAGAGCTATTCTTCCATTCTCGAAAAAAATTGCAGCCCGAAACTAATCCCATATATTTACTGGAAGCAATTTAGAATAAAGGTTATACTTCGAGGCTTGCATTGTTTTGTCTATAGCTTTGCGTTATTAATTGTACTAATAGAATCTAAAGACTGCTCTGCCAGGTTATTAAAAATGGCTCATTTAAACGTGGTAGAGAGATAACTTCAGGTGACGTCCGTGGAGGATGAGTCTATATATATTCTACCCTTTCTATCAAAAACACTAAAATTATATACTTATCACGTAATAGTTATGTGTGATTAGGTCGGATGCGAGGGAGCAGATTCTCACGAGTTGCGACCTCACATTCGATCGCAGCTTCGAAATTGTGAATCAGGTTGGCATATTCATATTCATCGAAATTCATGATTAGCAAAAGCCGAAGTTCTGTACAGACTCACTCAGAAATCTGGAGGAAAACTGAATGAGGTTAAGAAGAAGATGATAAACAATTCCTGATAATAAAAAGAAATCTTTACACTTACAAGTGTTTCATTTCTTGGTTCTCTTCACTTCCCCAGTAAGAGAGTTTGATGGCTTCGGCAGACATGATGGAATTTTCAGGGTAGAGTTTAACACCGGCTAAGAAAAATGGAAAAATATAATTGTCGAATGTTGTAGGATTTATCATAACTGGGAATGTTAAGTTTAGTTTCCGAGTTTTAACTTCATGTATGCGGTCGGATAAGTCCAGGAAGCGAGGCCTCACGCACTCTCCTCCGGCTTTAGCACAGATGTCATTGTAGGTGTACGAGTTGCCTTCTTCGTCGTGAAACTCAAAATTTCGAACAATTCCATCTATAGAATCTATTTTGTTCATTACTTCTTGGTCGATTATATTGGACGAGTCTGTCTTCGTAATTCCCAATTGAACATAAGGATCATTGCGAGTAAGGCGATCCTCGTTGAAAGAATCAGTGTAGTTCATCTTAAAATATCCCTCAATGAAGTCCCGCTCTTGACGAGCTCTTCCATTCAACGGAGAAAACAGAAACTCTGGGTCGTCAATCCAGTTCATCCTGAGGAACCCAGTCACGGAAATCGCAGTGATCAAAACTGGGATTACGATAAATGATTTTGGATAATCAGCGATCAATTCACCTAACCTGAAAAATACCTTACTCATAATAGAATCAAACGTCTCGAAAAAGAAGAATTTCCTCTCTTGAATCCATTTAACATCAGGAAAGCACTTAGTCAAAATGTAACCTAGGCTACTCAAGGCGTTTTCCTTCATTTCGGTTGGTTGATCTTTGCATCTGCGAATTGAAAAGAAATGATAACACTGACATTATTTTCGTCTAAAATTCATGAGTGTTTTTATTGAGTGGGCCGGGGCATTTCACACGAGAGTAACCAAGAGCCTCTTAGTTACATGAATACTTGAATCATTATAGTTCAAAACTTTTCCCAGCATAAAATTTTATATTCTTTATGAGGTAAACTAAACGGAACACTAATCCTGTATAGAAAGAAAAGCTCGGTAATTTTTTTAATGTGCCAGGAACTATTAATGGGATGCTAGCTTATCACAACAAATCATTACATTTGAATAAGTTGCGTTCTTTACGATGGGTCTCATTGCTGACAGGTAGTTAGTAATGAACAGCATTAAATTCCGAAAGTACATTGTCTAATATATTTAAAAAATGTTATAGTAATAATCGCCTGAACGACAAGTCATCCGGTGTTCTATCTGTTGGACTTTGAATAAATAAAAAAGAATTAGGACACCTATTTCCGATGGAGTCTCTACAAGCACAACTTAAACGCTCGGTGAAATAAAGATGCCGCTTGGAGGTCTACAACCACCATCGATGACGGACGATGATCGACTGGGGAGTGGGGAGTTCAATTTGGTCGGCTGGTCTGTGGATTTGCTTGCTTGTGACCAACTGTAGATTTTGCTCTACATTTTGACCAATTGAAAAAACCTCCGACGTTCCGTAAAAGTAAAGCACATAATTAACTGGAAACATAAAACGTTCTGCTCTATTAGAGGATCATAAAACTCGATTCCGGACTGTAAGACTTTGATTGAATTATTTGGTTGATTAATTACTTCCATTATGCGCTAAATCATGCGAACGTCTTACTAGAGCCAGACTGCATAGGTCATGGAAGAAAATTTCATAAGTCATTCAAATGATATTAGAGTTTGCCCCTAGAATTAGAATAGAGTTAACGTTTTCAGCTATCGATAGTAAGCTGAAGATTTTCTTATTGAGTATTTTTTACATGTGTAATTTACTTACATAATGTATACGAATGCTGCTCAAGACGTTCTATCCTACAAAATAGATTATGACCAAGCACTGAGCTGTACAGCTCTTAAGAAGTATGTTGCGTAAACTATTTGATATTCTTAACCCAACTGTGGTCAGAAATTGAACACTTCTTACTTTGCAACAGACTTTGCAACAGACTTAAATTCTTTGTTACAGACTTGTTACTTTGCAACAGACTTAAATTCGAAACAGAAAAGACGAAAATTCCATGTGATGTATGAGAGTAATATGATAGCAAGCTCGCATAAATTTATTGACACAAAGGATTTTTTAATATTTTTGCCAGAAAGCTTCAGTTTTGGAGAGGAAAATAATTAACAAGTAAATGCGACTGTCACGAATGTTTACTGTTTCCTACACCTACCACTAGTTAATTCAGGGTCAGGGGTTAAATTCAGGGGGCGTTCTCATGCCATGGCAAACCTTTCTATTTGCTAGAAATGTGTTATTTTACCATGCATTCCTGGCCTCTCAAACTGCAGCCGGTTAGTTTTTTTCATTCTATGATGAACTTCATTACGAAAATTAGACAATTTCTATTTAACTTCATTTACTCCTCATTTCAAAAATGTACAGCAAAAATTAGTTAATTTAAATTTTCTGGTATAAGTTGTATCTAATGTGAAGTCAGAACACAGAAGCATTCTTTTCCCTTAAAGAAATTCTGCACGGAAGGAGAGGACGATGAAAGATCAGATCTTAAACAGGTCTCCAGGCTGGAAACAAAAACCGGGCAGCAGGCAATTAAGGGTGACCTTGCCTGCGAGTAAGGGCGTGCGGAAAAATATATGCACCACAATGACACGTGTACGTCTGTATTGTTAATTTCATTCGTTGTCTACTTAATGACATGCTGCATTAGAAAATGAGGGAATGTTTTTTCTTTTGTTGTAAAAATTGAAAACACGAGCTAAAAATCGAAGAAGACAAGTCTCTGAGCAGCAGAGAAGTGTTATCCAACAGACTGCCGAACAGCGCGTTTGTTGCGGCAGAAGTTTTGCCACCTACTTGGTCCTTTCGAATGTTTTTCATCGAACAGGCTCATTTGCCAATAAAATGTGTATTTAAACGGTAAATTCTATATGCTTCAAGATCAAATTATGTGCAAGCTTTACTATATTATTAAACGAATACCCACTCTACCTAAACAACTTTACGACAATCACTCTATAAGTACATACATACTACCATTCATTTAGCTTTTAGCTGGAATACCGGGTTCAGGATGCTCCCAGACTGCTGCACATGCCGTGTCTCAGCCTAAGTTCAGTAGAATTTGAGCATCCAGGTACGCAAGCCAAGAATCTCTGCCTTTGGAGATAATTGGAACCAAAAAGATCAAGCGAGCATCGGTTGCTGAAGATTTAGTCCAGCAACCGGTTCAGACAGAATTTTTTCGAGCTCGAATGCAGCTGGCACTAAATTGAATGCGTGCATGACCGGATTGCCCTCCAAGTTCAAGCGAAACAGGTTACAGGTGTGCATACCAATTTTATTATAATTGTTATATTATTATCATTATTATTGTTATTATTATTGTTATTATTATTGCCGTTTCATAATATTATTTTCTAATTAAAATTTTCAGTATGATTTAATTGAAATTAAACGCAAAATTGAAAACAGATATGGTTTTAGACAACTCCCACATAGAATTAGGTGTCCAAATAGAATCAATTTGCTTGAGACTTCTTCCCCATATGATCGTTACTCATGATTGAATTATATAAGGTTGACCCACAAAAGTTTCCGTCTTTCAGTTCAGCTTTCTTGTTACGTCACTGAGATCGAGAAACGTAAACAAACCCGTCATTCTCATGACGGATTGGTTGACTGGTTTGATCGCATGCGGTGAGTGGTTAAATGCCCGTGACGTCACAAGCGAACAACGAACTACATCCGCAAAAATGAGCTTCTCGTGGGTCAACCTTATACTAGTTCAACCATGATCGTTACCTACCTGGTCGTTTAAAATGCGATTCGCATTCGAACGATAATTTTTCGGTAAAGACCTAATTCTCTCTCGAAAAATGTTTACCGCTGCTTTTAATAAGCATGTCGGCAAGGTGCGCCAAATGAGCAATGTTGCTAAGTCATTACTTCATCAGAGAGATGAAGTTCATCATTTAATTAATTTGACTATTTAATTATTTATTTAATTATATTTAATTATGCCTCCAGGCCGTTATATAGCTGATACCTGGCGCGACTATACGAGGAAAACGGAGCTGTTGAGAGTTGCTTGGTGAACCTTGCAACATTAAATAGAGAATAAATACAGCATTCCATGATGTCTTAAAATGCGCTGTTTGAGCGCGAACTTCAAACGAGCCGCTTTATTCGGCAGGAAAATAAATCACGACTTTGGTCATCGGTCACGCATCTGCTAAAATGATATCAATCTCGATAGCGCAACTGGATGCGATAAGTAAAAAAAGTGCAACCTACTGTTCGATATTTCAAGCATGGATGCGAGAAAGGAAAGTAATAAATGTGGAACGCTTCCAGCAAAAATACGGTAATTGTAGATTTAATTCCAGGATAACCACAAAATCTCTTGCTTCAATTGCTACAGCTACAATAGATGCTACAGAGGGAGTAACAAGAAAGTGCCATCATGGACGCAAACGCTTCTTGGGAATTAACGAATAAACACGGAAATTAATACTAGACTAATTTCAGTCAAAAGAGAACGTTTTGGGCGTTCTTTTGAAATATTGCGGTCTAATTAAGTTCTGGCAGATTATTTCAGTTCTGCGTAGCAGCAAAATGATTTATAATCTGTTTAAAAGTTCTGTGCAAGAATTAGATTTTACAATTTAGTCACGTGAAATCATGAATGTAAACTGAAAAGCTAAAAAAAGTATGTATTATTTTAGAAATATTGATACGTGGAGTAACCAATTCACTCTGTCATGCCGTATAATGAATATCTTTCCTGTCGACGTACGTGTACTATGTACCAATTTAATAAATGTTTTTTGTTTGGAACCTTTTACACTTGCTAAAAAGCCGAAATTATACAAGATTGAAACAATTGTCAAAGACTTCTATCTCTCCGTCTTTCAGTTGTGCTTCCTTGTTACATCACTGAGATCGAGAAACGTAAAAAATCCCGCCATTCCCATGACGGATTGGTTGACTGGTTTGATCGCATTTTGGTGATTGGTTAATTGCACTGATCTCGTCACTGAGATCAGTGACGTCACAGGCGAACAAGGAAATACAGCCTTAAAATGAGCTTCTCATGGGTCAACCTTAAACTAGGTTAACCATGATTTTTACACCGTCTCAGCTCCGATCGGGCTACTGCAGTTGACGGGCTTCATATACATTTCACATTTAGATTAACTTTATGTTGGAGTTGTGTATAAATTAGGGTGGCTCGTTTTAGGGGTAAAATTTTCGAATTTCAAAATGCTTGACCTCAGAAGTTTCCACTCCATGTAAAAATTAGCTGTGTAAAATTTCAGGTCGATGGGAAAAGATTTTGAGGTTGCACCATCAATCTAAATTATCAAATTTATTAAAATTATACAACTGTATAAGTGAAGTGGTCTCTGCTATACTATATCTTCTACTCGTTTCCACGACAATTTCTTTCTTTTTCTCTCCTGAAACATCAAATTCGAAGCTAATCCTCTTCATAGACGTTTCAGCAGGACGATATTCATCCTCGGAATTACAATCACTCGATGTGCTATCACTTATTATTAATTATATCAATAATATTTTCCCATCTTGAAGTTGAAGACATCTACAATAACTATTTCTTGATGCCAACCCTTTCCTTTCACTGCTCTCAAAATTTTTCTAGCTTCGTTTAAATCTTGTGGTTAACTACTCATTTTCCTATCACTCCTTTCTTCAATTCTTCAAGTAAGAATTCTCGTTCAATGATAAGAACTTTCGCATCTTTTCACAAAATATAAGAATCATATGCATGAATGGCACTTGCAAAATAAAGTAAATTTTCTGAATCCTCCGAAAAGGTACTCACTTTATCTCTGTTATTCAGCACATTGCCGCGATTCGTGTAGTTAACAATTAGTTTTCAATATTAATCGCATTAATTTTTCAATTATGTCGCAATTCGAATATCTGTTAGCGAAGGAGGCGAAGCTTTGTTATAGATCTTTAGAACGTCGTAGGTCATAGCTCTACAA